AATTTCACCTTTGAATCATTGGCCTACATTTTGTAAGCATTTTATTAGCTATGGTAAACAACGGTTTCAAGCAACTGAGCCAACACAACTTTGCCTGGAAGAGTGAGTCTCTGCCTGCTCGTCCAAGACAACCAACTTAACAGGGTGCAGAAAAAAAAGACAAACATCTATTTATGCTCTGGAGATGCCTTCTCCCCAGATATGGCTCACTGGGACCAACTTCTTTGTCAGTCACATTAGTAATATTGAGCTTGATTCACAGATTATTAGACCTGTGTGGACCAGTTTGATTTGTTGGTCTGATTGCCTGTATTGTGCAGGGTCTGGGCTCCTTTGGATGAACTTGCATTTGCATGCAAGAGTATTTGCAAAGAAATACATTCAATTTTATTGTAAACATGGCCTTGATGGAACTTGCTACAATACATTTATTTTTTCCTCTTTTTCCTTTTTTTTGTTCCTTTTTTTTTTTTTTTTCTGCATGCTATTAATAGTAGGTAGTTTAATTAGTGCTATCGCTGATTAAAAAAAAAAAAATTAATAAAGAATGTTCAGATCAAAGATTATAACTTACATTTTGTTCCTTCTGGGGAAAAACATGCTGCTAGCTCATGCTCTGGGCCAAAATGTTTATCCTGTTTGAAACCCTAGAGAACTCAAGAATTTCAGAAGCAAGAACATATTGCTCCATCTCACCCGAGTTTCTGGTGACCTTCCTACAGGACCAGTAGCGAAGATCAGAAGGGATTCAGTTCCCCTTCCCTGCTTTATAAATGTGATTCCCAGCATGAGATGTTTGCACTGCACATTTATCTGTCTTAGTTATTTGTGTGAGGTCAGTGTGAGCCAAGCAGCATAGTTTAAAGTCTTCAAGATTGAAGAATAGGGAGGGTTTTGCATTGTTTTTATTACCTTCAAGCACTTGCTTTGTACTTTATGTCATGTATTTCATCTGGAGGTGAATATACTACACATCAAATTCTAAGTGCCATGAAAGGATTAAAAAATAAATAAATCTGCCACAATAAAATTCACAGAGCAAGGGGAGGACATCCCCTTGAAAAGCTGAAGCACTCAGGTACAGTGCCAAAAGAAAACAATGTCAGAGGAGTCTGTAAGGAACTGAGACCCTTGGACAGAACAGAGACAGCACCTTCATTCTCACAACCTGACCAAACCACTGGACACTTACATATGTCCTGGTCAGGGCTATTGTGGGACTACCTTCTTGTTGTTGCCTTCATCCCCTGCCCCAAGGCTCCCTGCTGAAACTATCTGGCAAGTTCTGCCAAAATTCAGGATAAGTTTGGAGACAAACAAAGCCATTTTGTCTGGAGATTAAAATTACTGAGAATAATTTAATTTTAATTGGTAATAACTCACCCTACAGCTTGCCATCATGACCCAAGCCCAGGTTTCCTCTGTTTGGTGTAAGGGACAGCTGTCTTACAAACCATCAAGAATAGCATTTAGCACTGAATGGACTTTCAGTAGGTGACATGACATACCCAACTATATTTGCTGATCATTGTATCTCTTCTCAAACTACAATATACTTATTTATTTGTCTCATTGGTCTGTTGCAACTTTTGTAATCTTTGTGAGAGAAAGACAGACACTACTTACACTTTTCTGCAGTAAGATCCAATTTGGCCATGTCTCTATACAATGTTATTATATTGTAATATTATTGCCAATTTTATATTGTATTTATGTTATATTTATAAATTGTATTGCCAATATTATATTGTAATATTATTGTCAATGTTATTGAGGCTCTGCCAGTAGGTTATACCCACAGGCAAGTATAAATCAAAGGAAACATTGAATTTTGTCCTATCTGCCATTTAAGAACTGCTAAAGATCAGGAGTGTGGGAGGTAAATGCAGTGCAGGGCGACTGCACGCAAAAAGGTTTCATTGAAGCCTACAAATGTCATATAAAAGCAAATCATAGTTCAGGGAGCTTTTATATCTGCTTTGAACTGCAGAGCCAACGGTATTTCCCCTTCGTGTTCCATATTCTCTGGGGATTATTGAGATATTCTGCCAAATTTAAGACTTTCTCAGCTTAATTTCCCAAAGAGCAAATATTTTATGTGAATTGCGGTTACCCAATAATGCTGTTCTGAAAGCTCCTCTGGAAGGAAAAAGAAAGGATTCATCTCTTCGCCAGATGAGCTTCTGTCTTTATCTCTTGGAGCTCATCAGCTTGGAAATATTTCACCTGCTTGGTCCCTACCAGCAAACCTCTCACTGGGCATTTTGAAGGCAAAGTTCCGAGCAGAGCAGCATTGCTGTGAGAAGAAGAAAGCACTGTTTACTGCTATTATCACATCCTGCTCTTGTTTCAGTTTTAATTTCTTTTAACATGCTGTAAGGTCATTACCCTGTTGGGTCTCAAGGAAAAAGGAAAAAGAAACTTTCAATGTTTAAAGGCTAAATTCCACCAAATGATTAAGTGTCTACTTGTGTAATGCCAAAACCCCCCAATTAGTTAGATTAGATCTCTCTTCACTAAGAAGAGAGATCCCTAAAATTTAATTTGTCAGTGTTCCCAGTAGTAGCACTCCATAGCATCTTACAGTAGTCTTTTGGTGGTACGAAAAGGACAGTCTAAGTCTTGGTATCAGCCTTTCTACACCCACCTCACTCCTAAAATCCAACAGAGCTCCCAAAACAGATGTTTCTCGATCTCCTCTTCAGGGTCTGGCCTGGTAAATATAATCACATGCCGCCTTTCCCCACAAAATAACAGTGGGAGATGTGGTGCTGGGATGTCCTTTAGCATGTCTTCAGGGCACTCTTTGGGGAAGTCTTCAAGTCACCCGAGGGTGAAGAGAGACTTGGATCCAGCCTTTCATGTCTTCCACAAATACCTTAAGGACATCTTGTGCTACCAACAAAGGACACCTTGTGGTTGGGGCCTATTACAGGCCGCCTGACCAAGGGGAGCCTGTTGATGAGGTCTTCTTGCTCCAACTACAAGAAACTTTGTGCTCACAGGCTCTCATTCTCCTGGGGGATTTCAACCACCCAGGGAAAGCCATGTGGAAAGCCATGTGCAATCCAGGAGACTCATAGAGTTTATTGAGGACAATGACCTTGTCCAGGCACTAGACAAACCAACCAGAGAAGTGTTGCTGGATCTGGTGCTCACCAGTGCGGAAGAGCTCATTAAAAAGGTTAAGACTGGAGAAAGCCTGGGTTGCAGTGACTACGGCCTGCTTGAATTTGTGATCTCAAGGGATATGGGCCTGGCTACGAGCAAAGTCAGGATCCTGAACTTTAGAAGAGTGAACTTCCAGCTGTTCAAAGAATTAGTGGATGAGATCCCATGGGAGATGGTCCTGAAGGACAGAGGATCTGATCAGAGCTGGCAACACTTCAAGGGGACTCTTTCTTAGAGTGCAAGAGCTCTCTATTCCCATATGTAATAAATTAAGCAGGGAAAGTAGGAAACTGGCATGGTTGAACAAGGATATGCTGGTTGAACTTAGGAAAAAGAAGAAACTGCACAGACAGTGGAAACAGGGCCATTGAAGACAGAGAACTGGTAACAACAGACATGGGGAAGGATGAGGTACTTAACTTCTTTGCTTCGGTCTTCACTAGCGGTCAGGCTTCACAAGGCTCTCAAGTCCCCAAACCTCTAGGTAGAGGCTGGGGGAGCAGAGTCCCTCCCACTGTAAGAGAAGAGCAAGTCTGAGACCTCCTGACACAATAACTACAGGTCTATGGGACCTGGCTGATGGAGTTGCCAAGCCACTCCCCATCATATTTGAAAAGTCCTGGCAGTCAGGTGAAGTCCCCATGGTCTGGAAAAAGACAAGGGTCCAGAGGAGGGCTACAAAGATGATCAGAGGGCTGGAGTTCCACTCCTATGAAGAAAGGCTGAGATAGCTTGGAGAAGAGAAAGCTCAGGGGTGACCTCATTACAGCCTTTCGGTACTTAAAGGGAGCTTATGAAAAGGATGGAGAGGGACTCTTTACTTGTGTGGATAATGATAAGACAAGGGGAAATGGTCTTAAACTAAAAGAGGATAGATTTAGATTAGATATTAGGAAGAAATTATTCATTGTTAGGGTAGTGAGGCACTGGAACAGGTTGCCTAGAGAAGTTGTGGGTGCTCCATCCCCGGATGTGTTCGAGGCCAGGTTGGATGAGGCCTTGGCCAACTTGATCTAGTGGGTGGCATCCCAACGGCAGTGGGGTTGGAGTTAGATAATCTTTAAGGTCTCTTCCAACCCAAGCCATTCTGTGATTCTATGAAAAGGAAGAACCTTTTATCCTTCAGCACCCTGTGAGAAAGGATTCAAGAAGCACAAGAAGAAAGCTGAGGAGTCCTGACAAGTGCCTTCTACTAGGTCAGTACTGGGTGGACTGGTCCTATTCAGGGCCATATCCTCCCTTCATGTTTTCTGTTTGCCAACTTAGGTAGCAGCGGAAATCCTATCCTTGGAGCAAGATCTCACATCTTCAAAGTCCTGCAGAAGCTACCTGAAAGAGCTTTGGTACCTAAAACACTATTACACTGAGCAAACTTGACCCTGGAGGAGGCTGATGCCATAAAAATAGCACCCTGAAAGCAAGGCCCTCAAGGTGAGCACTGTGAAATAAAACAAGTCCCAGAAGACTTTTTCCAAAGTCATTACTGCTTAATGAGATGACAATTGAAGGAGACAAAGAAAAAAGTAGTTTTCCCAAGGTTGTCAAACAGATGAAAATGCCAAGGAAGAGGACCTTGGCACCCAGCTGCTGGGCTGGGGCTCCCTTCCATGTTTTACTGTGATTATCTTGCACGATTCAGCGTCTTATCTGAAAATGCACTTCTAATTTAATCCCCACTCGGGGCATCTGAAAAATGCATCCAGTTTCCCGAAAGCCAGGCTGACGTTTTCTTTTGGGCCTCATCCCATTTTACTATTTCCTCTTGGCAAAGCTCACTAAATAATCTCTCGTTTCCTTTTATGTTCACATCTCAACTGAATCCTATCCTGTGATCCACCTCAGTCCTCTCCGTGCCAATCTTTATGTATCAACCTCTTTAATCCTTCTTCACACGCCTCTAACTATCTAGGAATAAGGTTCCCATAAATGACACAGGCACGTGGAGACATACCACAGCTGTGGAGCACACCCATATCTGCAGCTTGGGAAATCGGTGCAAGCAAAACTCTGTGCAAGCCATCTTCATCCAACGTTCTCCATGCCACACGAAGTATGAAGAACACCTGGAAAGGTTCCTTCCAGCCTTCTTTAAGAGGTAGGAACAGACTGAGGTCTTTCAGACAAACTTTCCTTGAAGTTTCAAACAGATTTTAGAGCTGTTTCATAACAGCAGTGGCACAAAGTACCTCTGCCTTTAGTTAGGGTGGTTGTAATTCAAGAGAGTGGTTGCAATTGCTTAAAACAGAATAGGTCCTTCAGCGACAGTGGACAAGTAGTGGGAGGACTGATGGGGACCACTGTCTGCTCCTCAAAGAGCAGAGAGGATGTCACTTAATCCTGAACTAATTAATTTGACCTTTGAATTAAATGTAAATTGAATTTTCCATAAAGGTAGAAAGGGTGAGATTCAGTTGACCCAATGCACATGTCAGAGTTATCAGCTGAGCTGATGATATCCATCTAAAGAGAAATACACAGCGATAAGGTCAAATCCACATCTTCCTCAAAAGATACATAATATAAGGCAGTTGAGCCTCCAAAGTGTTCCTTTCTCTCCACTGACTATAAAATGAACCTGAGCAACCAGAACTCCTTGGGATGTCTCCACTACATGTACATCAAAATCACAGGAGATGAATCTCAGCTAAAATGTCTCAGCAGCAGCAAAATATTAAACAGACAGTGGTCTGTTGCTGAAGAGCAGCATGATGCCAACTGGTAACCAGAAAGAGGAAAAACTAATCTTAAACCAGAGTTATAAACACATTCTTAAATTAAAACTTGTATTTTGGTTCACTTTGACTAGCAATATTTTATTATTGGTTATTGGAGGGTTATGAGAGCATATCTGGGATCCTGAAGTGAATTGTAACATTCATTCACTTAAAAATTTATCACTGGAACTGTAATTTGGAGTTGTCGTCATGCTATTTAAGTTGTGTACAACCAGGGAGCTTAACTGATACCATATGAGCTATACAGTCAAAAAAATAAAATAAAAATAAAAATAACAGAAGCAGAGGGTAGTATAGACCCAGATGAACAGTACGAGAACAACCAAGCATCCATCAGCAGCTCCCAAGTGAAAGGTCACTGAAGTTATGAGCAGGGTTATGAGACCGGTGGAAATTCAATTATTTTTGAACTGGGAACATTAGACAGATTAAAATAGAGCTAAATTTCAGAACTGGAGCCACAAGAGAAGAAATTGGGAACTTTTGCCACAGAATTAAAAAATTTCAGTGGAAATCTTCCTACAAATAGTAACAGACACTCAGAAATTTTGACTGATTGAGGAGCAATATTTCAAACCAGAAGGATTAATTTGTAGCAACTAGATTTGATATAAGTGCATAGTTCCCATTAGAAATAGCTAAATCCTCTTTTGGCAACACTTTGGTAGAAGCATCCATATTTTTTGCAACTCTGGATGAGTTAAATTAGAGCCTTCCTAAGAGTCAGACAGTGAACATCTGGTTTGCATCACTGAGATCTTAAGAGTGTGTATGCATGTGTGCAAAATAATTTCATTACTAACCTCCCCCTCTGTTGCTGCTCTCTCTGCTTTGAAATCAGAAAAAAATAAGAGGGAAAAAAATCACATGCCCTGTGATCTCAACACTTTGCCAAGGACTAGACCTCAGTTTCTCACAGGTTTTCTCTGAAAACCATCCTAATAGAATCAGCAAAGAGGAAAAATGAGATACTCATGAAATTAGTCATGGCTGTACATTTTCCATGTCCAAAAGATGTCAACTTTGGAGAGTATTTTCCAGCTAAAGACTTGTTTCATGGGGTTAAAAGTTTCTATGTAAACTAAGGCTGTCCTTTTCTCCCAGACTCCCCAGCTGTGTCCAGCTAAGCTGGTCTCAGAGGTCTCCAGACTGGCTGGGCTGTTTTCTGGTAGACGCCCCTTTGCTTCAGATGATTATCAGCTTTACCAAGAGGAGAGTTTATGAACTTAGTGCTTGGAAAAAAATAATAATAATAATAAAAAAAGGCATTCAAGTCTCAGAAACTTTGACAAAAATGTCCAGGAATGGCTGACATGGGATAGAAAATAAACACTGGCATGGAGCCATTGCTGGTGGCCCATAGGCTACGTATACTTTATATCCCTGATTCTGGATTCGCTCCATGTATATGAAGTCTGTTGTATGAATCACAGCTGTCCCGGGGATCTCCATGACTCCTTGCCATCACCACCACCTTCTTTGGGGTGTATCCCGGCCTTGTAGGTGTGATGCTTGTGTTACATGAGTGCTTTTAACATTTTCTGAAAGCCTGCCCAGGGACAGGACCCTTTCCCCACCCAGCTGAATTGAAAATGTCTTAATAACAGAGTGCTCAACTCAGCCAAGAGACAACAGTTCACATAAAAAGAGGAATGGGACACAAAATCCAAATGTCCTGACACCACTTATTATCCCATTTATAATGCTTTGAGAAACTAACTGAAGAAAAGAGGAACATTTATGAAAAATCACCTGCATGTTGCTTTTCTCTCCGCTTTGGCTGCTCCATGCTGTGTCAGGTCATGGCCCAAGATGGGAAGCACTGAGATCTGCTCTCAGAGTGTGAACTGATGATGGTGGATGGATGTAAATCGTGGCACAATTTCTCATGCAGAATGTATGATCCTTCCTTTAAACCCAGACTGTCCTTTCCACCCCTAAGTGCCAAGGATTTCAAATGGGCAATCAAGCTGCCTTTGGTTTGGAGTCTGAAGTATGATAAACCCTTGCTTTAAAGGTGACAGTCACACTTTTCCTGTGGACAGTATCTCTGTGTGCTGAAAGCTTGTGGCATCTGCAATACATCCCCTCCAGGGGATGTAGCTGTGATTACATTATCATTTCCTACCAGGACTTTCACACACTCTCAGGCCCATCATGCAGCTGCATGAACAAAGCAATCTCACCATCTGCATGCTCAGATGTCCGTGTCATTGGGATAATTTAGTTGGAGAAAAAAAAAAGGGCATTAGTAAGAACAGCTCTAAAGTAGCACTTCAGTTTTTCAAGAGTGAAAAATCTTTGCTGGTAGGAGTACATAAAACCCAACAGATAAACAGCTCTGCTTTGGCTTTATGTTTGGTGGAGATACACATGGTTCCAATTCATCTGTCCCAAATATTAGAATATTTCTCTGAATATGTGTCCTGGTATGCTTAGTTATCAGTCTTATTTCTCCTACCACACCCATGGGGTGATCAGCTAACCCCATGAGAAAAGGCAGTAGAAGAGCAAAGCGGGGGAAAATTAGTTTCTGAGCATGGTAATGTCTTTCTCCTAAAGGAGTCCCACCAAAGCCTGGCAAAGTAAGACTATGATCCCTTCACTGGCCTGGAGACCAAGACAATAAAAAAATAATGTGCCAAAAGTAACACCCTAATTTGCCTTCTCTACTGACCTAGGCAATGGCAAAACCAAAGATATTTAGAAACAAGAAACTACCAGATAATTAGCTATATGCGTTTGGTATGACTGACTCAGTCTAGTCCCACTCAGTCCAGCTCCCAGTGCAATGAGAAATAAAGCAGAACTGGGACTTGAACAACTAATAATTGTAATGGTATTCACTGGGTGACAAACCATGATAAGTTGAGGATATACCAGATCCACCCAAGTGAGTAACATAAGCCTATGACAAGAACAGAAATCAGGTAGAGAAACAAATGTGGAACCACAACTTACTCCCAGGCCAAGAGTTAAAAGTATTACCCCCCCCGCCACTAAAATCATTCAAACCGAAGGTTGGAGGAATCCTCCTCCCTTGTAGCTGACACATCAAAACCTGGCAGGACTTTCCTTAGCACTGGTGAGATCCCGATCCTGGCAGTTTTGTTGTTGTAACTGCTGTTTGGTTTTGCATCATGAAATAAAGTTGATCTTTCCTCCAGAGCATTGATGTCTGATGGCATTTATCTGTAGGCCCTTATGTTAAACTGACAACTTACTCGACACGCCTCTTCAAGACAAAAATGTGGAGGGAGTAAACTATGTTCTCTGATTTAAAACTATTTTCAATTGACCAGTCTAACCTTTCTGGCTCCCTTATCTGAGTATTATTCATTTCTCCTTTAACTCAGCTTGAACCCTAGGAAATTCTAGCACTGAAGCTTGAGACATTTCAGCTAAGAATTACTACATATTTTCAGTGCCCCCTCATGAGGTCAAGCTTTCTCAAGGAAATACAGGCAGAGGCTGCAGTTATTTTGAAGGTGTCTCATTCAGCAATGTGGGCTTTTGGATTATAAATCACCTGCAAAAAGATTTATCAAACTCCTACAGTCCACAGTTTTCTAAGCAACAAGGAGCTACATCTGGGTTTGCAGCTACTCTCTCTGATCAACTAACAGTGATGTAATTTTGACAGCCGTAGTCACAACAAATATCTGGGAGAGTTTTTTTGAATTTTTAGCATGTGGCAGTTTTTTAGCTTTTTTTTTCTTTTTCTTTTTTCCTTTTTCCAGGGCACAGCTCTTTAAAGTCTGTCAAGGAGGGGAAACTCCTGTTCGTTAAATCTCCAGGTTCATAAAAATATTATGAGACTGACCACAGTAGCAAAAAAAATTATGTGGCAAAATTATAACACCCTACCTTGCCTTCTCTAACTGACCTGGACAACGACAGCAACAAAGATTGGTTCAACAAGTGTTTCTTTTGATAACCACTATGACCAGAAAAGGCCAATATTTTACCCCACGTTCAGCCTATCTAATTTGGGTTGCTGATGCTGCTGTTTTGATCATTGCTGTGTGTCCCACCTTTTACACTCCCTGCATATCCTTGCGTGGCAACTTGTGATGCTGAAACAGGTTTGTTGACCTAGCCTTGAATTATCTTCAAATTTCTTATAATTATTGGTGTGTTTTTTTGTTTGTTCGTGGGCTGTTTTTGTTGGTGGTGGTTTTGGTTTTGGTTGTTGATCTTTTTTTTTTTTGTTTTGGTGGTTTTTTTTTGTTTATTTGTTTTTATGACAGGGCAATTTTCTTTTCCAAAAAAATAAGCTGATGTAATTCCTACCGTCAAGATTTGTGTTTGTACAAAATTACTGTATGCCACATCAGATCACCTCCTTTCACTTGCAGTA